GGGAGCTACATTGGAGGCTTGAGGTACCTTGCCTAAAAAACGTGGCAGAAAACCTTATCATAAAAAATTTGTTGTGCTGGTGCCAACTGTCGAGGCAGCCCTTTTAGATCACGGGTTTGCAGCTCATAGGAGGAGATCTGAGACCTGGTCATCGGTGGGAGTGTCAGCCAAGAAATTACGGGACAAGCTTGTAAAACAAATTCCAGCACTTCAAGCAGGTATTTCCACCAGCACAGTTAAACGGCTGTTTGTTGCTCCAAATCGAAATCCTAAGGCATCCAGTTTTTATCATGGCATCATTGATGCCAAAGTTGGTGTAAAGAGAACTGACAAAAGAAAAAGCCACGACGCATCTCACTTCTGCCGTGCAACTGTCAGTTACGCCTTGGAGATGGCCGCTTGCTTCGACGATGAGGTTACAGTTTGGTCAGTGGAAGATAAAAACAAACTACTTGTTGGAGGTGGGCCATGCGTTGACAGGAGGATGGCGTTCAAGTCCTACTTCATGAAGGGAGACATGGTACATTACCCAGATCACAACTTTGCTACTGGGTAAAAGATCATTCCAAGTGGCTATATGGAACTGCGCAATAAGTCACCCTCATCCAAACACCAGATTCAGCGATCAAGGTCCCTCAGCCTGGTAAAAACACAGGCAACATCTCATCGTTCTTCCCACGAAGACCCGCTTCCACTCCGGCGCCGTGCTTCATCCACGTACCGGCAGGACAAGTTTGGGCGTCGCCATCTCATCTATCCGAGAACCGGTCCTTTAACGATATGTCTGAGGGGGAACAAGTTTCATAAAGCTTCCGTTTACAACCATCACACGGACTTGACGCCTCTACTTCGTAGTGTCTGCAGAAAGGGAAATAAAAATGCAGCAATAATTGTACAGTACATGTATGTGATAATGGTCCAGACTGGAAAAGGAATAGCCTGAAAGTTGTAATGATAATGGGCAGACTTTGGCGGGATCTTGAACAGGACTGTTTGAATGTTGTCAGCTACTCTCCAGGAGACAGTCGATATAATATGATTGAGCACAGTTGGGCTTCTGTGACGATGTGGTTAACAGGTCTTCAGCTAATGTCCACATTTCCGGGTGAGGAGAAAACTCCAGACGAACAGAGAAACTTGTCCAAAGAAGAAAGGCGACACAAGAAGGCTGTTGTCCTTAACATCGCAATCAGCGAGGTAGAGCGATGTCTCAGAGGGAGAACTTATGATTCTTTTGAAGTTTCACCCGTTGCAGTCCCTTCCTTATCGTCACATATCTACAACGATGAATCAAGCATTGACGAACTGAACGACGCAAGCAAGAAGAAAATCAACAGCTCTGCTTCACTTACAAATGTACATGTACCACTCTCGTCGATGAGTACCTACTGTATACCTCTCCAACCATTCAATACAACGATTCAATAGAATTCATCAAATGCCCAGACAAGACGTGTCATCATTGTTTCAAAAAACCCATACGGGCACTCATGACCTTCCTAAAAGAATTCAGCAACAGCTGTTCCTTCACTCCCCAACTATCAGACATGATTCCAGGACACTTCAAAACTTGGCTAGAAATGGCAACACTGGCAATAACTGGGAAACTCAAGAAATCTGATTTGGATGACGGGCTGAGCTGCACTTTTTCAGGGGAAGATCGGCGATGTAAGCATGGCTGCAGAAAGGCATTCCAGACCAAAGCTGACAAGGAACGTCATGACAGGCTCCTCCACTAAGAAAAATTAAACCAAAAACAAATGGCTCTTTTCAGAGCCACACATCCAAAAAGAGATAATCTGATGCAGTCTGTGTCAGAGGAGGAACCAATAAAGAAAAAAGAAAACCATAATTTTGTTTGTTGTCTTTATTTTCCGGTTATTATTTAACAGATAAATACATCTTTACCACACCATTTATTGAATATTTAAAAATCTGTAAAAGAAAACTTTAAACATTTCATACAGGGAAAGAAAACTCGAGGAATGTATTTAAAAAAATCAATCAATCTGAACTCAGTATTGATGCATAGGCAAAAATAACATATTTCTTATTAATATAATTAAAAAATGATTTCTTTAGATTGTTTAATGAGCATAATCTTAAATTCATCCTTTACATGCATA